CTCAAAATTGAGCCGAGTAAAACCAAATTCAACATAATTTGTTTTCAAAGGTACTAAAAGTCCGAACTGAAATGAAGTCTTCGCTAGGAAATCACCACTGACATTTGATAGTGTTTTGGTGAAAAACCTGTGATATTAAGACAAGTTGTAACATTTTCCTAAGTTAACTCATAAATAACCTGCACAGCAAAAATATTTTTTTGCGTTTCTCAGTCGAACGGAGGCAAGCTCGAGACGGTGCGAATTGCGAGTCACGCACTAGAAGAAAAATCTGTAATATCAAGACAAGTTTTACTATTTTCCTAAGTTAACTCATAAACAGTCTGCATAAGAAGCATATTTTTTGCCTTTTTTTAGTCGAACGGAGGCACGCGCAAGACGGCGAGTCACGCACAAGGGGAGGAGCGCAAAAAGATTTTGTTTTGTTTTTTGCGCTCCTTTCCTCCTGCACGTCCCGCGCCTTACTCCGTTCACCTGTAAAACGCAAAAAAAAAGTTACGCCTGTTTAGCAGGCTAATTGATAAAGATCTTTAATATGTGTCATTTCATTTCTTCGGAATCGAAATTGAATTATAAAATGCGTCTATTTTAGCCCCTGTAATGAAAGCCTTACCTTGTGAGGTAGAGTTGGTACTCCCTTGGAAACTAAAGGACGAAATGGTACAAAATAAGGCCGTTTGCATGAATGAGAGGTTTATCTCCCTGATCTTTCTCTTTTAACAATTTTGTTTTACCTTTCTTTAACTTTTCCCTCTATACTCAAGTCGTAGTAAAACAATGAAATTATAAATGCCACAACGATGAGAAAATTTATTCCGTAAGAAGAATCACCATGATGAATTTGCCTTGAAACAACATATATTTATATGGACTATCGTTAGGAGTTGATTTTCAACGGGAATATTTCTCTCTTCGTTATTCCTTTAAAAAATTCTAATTCGACAATTAAATATAAATTTCCTTAACTAAGTATGGTTATGCGATTGAAATATTATTGCGGCTCCCAGGGAATATCAATTGATTGTCACCAGTTACCAGGGATTGGATTTCTTTTGCTATACCGTGCTTTTTAATTGATATAGAAAACTTTCGCCGTCCTCTCTACCAATGGAAAGGAAAAGTACGTCCAATTACGTCTTGGTCACCTTTTTTTTCTCGCCCGATTAAGTCAATTGCTTCTTGAGGGTTTTTATTGGCTCCTCGTCATATTTTCCTTTTTTCTCATTGGCAATTGGCCGATTGTATTGGTTCTGGTTCTGACACTCATTCGAAAAAAGCTCTTTTTTTCGTGCTGAGTTACCTGGACAACCATACAGCTCCATCCTCATAGTAATGTGATTATGCCAAGTCCATGGAATGACCCGTATGTAACGCACTCTCATGGGAAGGTTTAGCTTGTGGTATGCAACAGTGTCTTTGTCTTTGTTTGCTGTAAATACCTTAAAGGAGAAGGATTAAAGGAGAAGGATGCTTTAGAAACCACCTGATCTCCATCACCACCATCAAATGTGTTTGAGGAATTAGTAACAAAAATAAGTGGGCTTATTTTGAGATAGCAAAGGATGACCTAACCTTTCGAAAACGGTTTGCGAATTTGTTAAAAAATCGATTTTCGATTGCTACCTCAGAATCATTCGACAATGAACCGCTACGAGCACTCTACATATCAAACTTTTTCCCCACTGCGATGGACATTTGTTTTTGTCGGTTCCAGCCTGGCGCGGCCGCTAACCCAGATGCCCTCCTAAGCAAATGTTCAAAATGGCGGACAAACCAAAGAGAGAGATAAGAGAACCAAAGCGATTCTGCAACGAATACTCAGCATAAACCCCTGTTAAAAAGGTCATTTCAGAGAGAAAAGATACAAAATTGTATGATGTTGAAGTCACGGAGGTTGACAAACCCAACAAGAGACTGAAAATTCACTACATTGGCTACAGTACACACTTCGATGAGTGGAGACCCTTCGGGGACGGTGAAGCATATGAATATTTTCTTTCGAAATTGTATAGATTAGTAGGCTGCAACAAAAATTTATTGGACGACGTTTAGGGTAAAAACAGCAATCTAACCTGAAAAAAATGTATTTATTCCGACTCTTTCGGATGTTACGAGGATCGAGTTATTTTTACCGAATCTGTCACGCAATCCCAGACTTTTCTAGAATTATCTATAATCTGTAATATTCCAGAAACTTCTTTCGTGTGACTCAGCAGTTTCCAAAAATAGTACAACTTGTAATACGCTATAAATTGTAATAGAACGTTCTAGATAACTAAAGTAAATGTATAAAAGCTGGCTTGTGAGAAGTACAAAAGAGATTTGCCCGAGGGCTTACCCTCATGGCTTGCTGACTGAACTTTTGGAAGCTATGATATGACGAGGCTTTCTTTGATTTTGGCGGTACATGTTCAATTTGCACTTGCGTAAGAGAGAAATTGCCCAAGACTCCTTGCTCGGTCTTGTTTTGACCACGAACGCCTTCTTAATTTTGACGGACCCGCTCGGGAAAAGGTGAAAATGACGAGGGAAAAACTTTACTTTGTAGTACGAAAATACACAAAATGGAAAGTCATGATATTATAGTTCAATATTTCGGTGGTACATTGTTAAATCTTTATACAGAGAGTCGGTAAGATGATATAACATCCAAAAATCGCACTCGATTTGAGTGGGCCGATGAAGTGGGCGTGGTCACGAAATTCAGTAAGAGACTATTTGTACCCCGTGAGTTTGATATGACGCAGATAACGATTTTCGCGATTACCAGGGCAGCAGCTACATGAGGCTCGCAGGCGTAGGGGCATACTGCGGTGATTTCAAAGTGTATTCTTCGCAATTCATATACAGTAAGCATCATCAGGATCATCATTTATCGACTTCCCATCTCATGATCATTTCCCACAAGAATTCACCAGTTGTTACCTTCAGGCTGGAACAAGAATCAAGGCCGGTTTATGACCAGTTCAAGAATGAGTTCATGTAGAAAGAAGTAGAGCATTAAGTTGGTAATAAATCACACCCACCCCTCTACAAAAAGCAAAAATAATAATGTTATGCTGATGTTTGAAGATGGTTACACCGACGGACAGTACTGGGCTAAGTTGCGTTCGAAATTCAAGACAATTTTGTACTTTATTCTGACAGTCTGAATCAATTTTCGTTTTATCGAGTCTTTTGGCTGCTATTTTAAACGACATGGAAATAAATACGCCACAAAAGAGCTTATGAAAATGTTTACAGTCACATGCCTTATCGTTGCCGCTTTCTGGATCTCTGTAATGCCGAAAAGACCTGCCATTGTTGCCGTATTCTAACTTGTAACTTGTCACCCACTGATCATATCTGTTCCCTCCTTGGGTTCCTATGATTTTAACTTCGGTTTTAGAGCCCAGATCCACTCTAAGCCACTGATTCCGACTATTAGCAGCCGCTGACCAAGCACCTTGTTTTCCATAACCGGCCATGAGGTGCAGCCGTGCTTTTGCTGCAGAATGGTGTTCGTCCCATTGAGAAGAAGCAGTTATTTGAGCGTCTGTAATGAGCCCCCGTTCCATTCCTAGAGGTTTCTGACATGCTGAGAAAGACGTCAGAAAAACTTCTTATTAGGTTCAACCTAATGATATGCAAAGCTCAAAGTTCTGTACCAATATCAAAATATATTCAGGTTTACAACAATAGCATATAATGATAATAATCAAGAGTGACTGATTCATATCTTATAATTATTGATACATATTTGATTTTGAAAGATTTACTCAGAAAAAGTATAATTTGGTAGATAGGTCTGCGTGTTGTTTTTCCGACACAAGTAATTATGGCTTAAAAGTAACACTTCCATGTCTGCACCAAAGAGAGACTGAGGCTAAGAAAAAAAATTGTCCGCACCCGAGGTAAGTGGCTCACAAGGCACTGAGGGACCTATCCCGCTCTCCAAGCATTATTATAGTATATTAGAGTATATCTTTTTCCTCTGGCCGGATGGGAAGCTGGGTTAACATCGTTATTTCTTCAGGCTTCGTTAACAGTTTGCCGGCGCCCATTTATACTCCCGTAGGGAGAGAGAGGGAGTGTGAGAGCAAAGTATCTTGTCCATGCAAGAAAAAGACACATTGACTCGGTTTGAAATAATAAACTATGAAAATGTGACCGACTTTTACGGAAGAATCAATCGTAATTCAGATCACTCTTGTACCTGCAACCTGAGTTTTGGATCGTATGGCCTGTATCTGCTTCTGAGATAAAGCTACATTGTAGACCTGCATCTGGGCAATCCTTCCCTTGAAGAACCTTCCGTCTCCATTTTTTACTCCCATTCTAACATTGTCCTGTGTGGCCAGATGCAAATGTGCACCGATATTTGATTTAACCACCTCAATTCCATCAATCCACAATTTGGCGTAGCCAGATGTGCTGTCATAAGAAGCACCAACAAACCTCCATCCATCCTCTGGTTTAAGTTCAGTGTGCATCAGAGCATGCGTAAATGAGTAATCTCTCTTGGTAAAGCGTGCAAACAGTTTACCAGAGACAACCCAAAGATGGACTCCCCAGCTTCCAGAAATCTTGTAGTTGAAAAGGGGTCCGTCCTGGCCACCTGGAAACAACCAGCAGAGCATCGTCATGGAGTTCCAAACATCCAATGCTCCAACATTCGGAAACTCAATGTACTGGCTATGAGCTTTTCCGAGGAATTCGTGAGAGCTATCGATATTTCCATCTGGTCCTGGTGCTAGAAAAACATCACCAGCAATTCCGGTGCCTGCTCTGTTTTTGATTTCCTTGGTTTTATGTATGGCATCGAGAGGATACAAGGCAACTGGATCTGGAACTTAATGGAAAATAAATCATCTTTCATCGCCAGCTTATGTAAAAAGACCTTCCTCTCGATTGCTAATGATTCGGCTCATCGCTTACGTAAAATGATTTATAAGAGAACGATAATTCAAGAGTAGTGTCTAATTGACACTCAAACACTAATAAAATGGTAACAAATAATCATATGAACAATAATAATAATAATAATAGTAATAATGATAACAATGATAATAATAATAATAATGATAACTAATAATAACGATCAAAATAGTGATGATAACTTATGGGAACTTACCTTAATGGGAAATATATCATCTGTCATTGTGTGTACATATTTTGAATTCAACTTGGAATCGGTCGATGAGCGTAAAAAACACTCAATAACTTTTTCGTGGAGAACGGTTTTTTACTACTGCTTTTCTTTTTAGCCAAAATTTCAAATAAGCGCCCAGTCACTTATTCGAGGAAATAAGGTATATTCATTTTTTTAGCCTTCAACAACTATGATAAGGCCTTGGAGTGATTGTAACGTAATGTAATGTTTATAACGTTAGTTTTCCTTCCAACAGACAAGTTATAGCGTTGGTCTTTACCTGATACGTTTTTGTTTCCAAGGTCCTCCGTGGCCATAACCTATCAAAGCAGGATACCTTTTACGAACCAGCCTCATTCAATAAAATTCACAAAATATAGAAATAGATTTAACCAACACCATGTTAATGACATAAATCATACTTTCTCAGGCAGATAAAATTTTAATCGCAGAAAAGATATATAAGCCTAATAGATGTAAACCGTACCTTCTGAGGTTGAGTTGGATTTGGGTTCACCTCTGGAACTAAAGAACCAATTGATACAGAATAAGCTCAGTTACCTAACTTTTATCTTTACGTTACATACACTGATAGGAAGAATATTTCGTGACTGAGCCTTGATTTGGAGTCTGCGAAAACTTTATCGGAAAAATTGCCCGGAATTTCTTTTTCATTCAATTAGGCATACTTACCCACACAATCAAGAAACTGACAGCCGGTATTACAACATATTAAGCCTGGAGGGCAGCCGGAAGCAGAGCCAGTTTTTCCCTCGGGTTGACACAGGCTGCTCTCATGGTCATCTCTTGGGCATTCACCAGGTTCCTCGAATGTTGGACAAATCAAATCTAAGGAAAGGCATCATTCAAAATACGGCTGCTTTCTTCTTCCATGGCATAAAGCATAATTTTACACCATGACTCCGAGCATACTTCACTTAATTTATTTATTAGATTCGCCGACAGGCAGGGACACCGCAACAGCTGGCGCCAATTACTGCGGGCTCAGTAAACACACACATCCCACCCCAGGGGAGGACATCCACCCACAGTTATCTCGTGCGTGGGAAATTAACGTCTCTTACCCCTAACCCTGCAGGAGACGGGGCCTAGAATATCCATTTCTTGATATTATAGAAAGGTAGCAAATTCTCCTCAGTTATTTTAAGACCCTAAGTATTGGTCCGGCCGGGTCTTGAACTCTCGACCTCCCGCACAACAGTCCGGCGCTCTACCAATTGAGCTAACGAGGAGGCACTTAATTCCTGAATGTAAGTTTACTAAGAGATCGACTTAAATCTGAGCATGCGTAAGTTTGTACACAGTACTATTCCAGGAGAAAAGCAGAGACAAGATTATTTAACTTGAACTTGTTTTAGTTGTAAAGCCAACGAGAATAAAGTTAAGACTGCATATGGCTACTGCCGCCGCATTTCGCATGTTCATGAGTACTTTGTTTTATAAGAGAACGATAATTCAAGAGTAGTGTCTAATTGACACTCAAACACTAATAAAATGGTAACAAATAATCATATGAACAATAATAATAATAATAATAGTAATAATGATAACAATGATAATAATAATAATAATGATAACTAATAATAACGATCAAAATAGTGATGATAACTTATGGGAACTTACCTTAATGGGAAATATATCATCTGTCATTGTGTGTACATATTTTGAATTCAACTTGGAATCGGTCGATGAGCGTAAAAAACACTCAATAACTTTTTCGTGGAGAACGGTTTTTTACTACTGCTTTTCTTTTTAGCCAAAATTTCAAATAAGCGCCCAGTCACTTATTCGAGGAAATAAGGTATATTCATTTTTTTAGCCTTCAACAACTATGATAAGGCCTTGGAGTGATTGTAACGTAATGTAATGTTTATAACGTTAGTTTTCCTTCCAACAGACAAGTTATAGCGTTGGTCTTTACCTGATACGTTTTTGTTTCCAAGGTCCTCCGTGGCCATAACCTATCAAAGCAGGATACCTTTTACGAACCAGCCTCATTCAATAAAATTCACAAAATATAGAAATAGATTTAACCAACACCATGTTAATGACATAAATCATACTTTCTCAGGCAGATAAAATTTTAATCGCAGAAAAGATATATAAGCCTAATAGATGTAAACCGTACCTTCTGAGGTTGAGTTGGATTTGGGTTCACCTCTGGAACTAAAGAACCAATTGATACAGAATAAGCTCAGTTACCTAACTTTTATCTTTACGTTACATACACTGATAGGAAGAATATTTCGTGACTGAGCCTTGATTTGGAGTCTGCGAAAACTTTATCGGAAAAATTGCCCGGAATTTCTTTTTCATTCAATTAGGCATACTTACCCACACAATCAAGAAACTGACAGCCGGTATTACAACATATTAAGCCTGGAGGGCAGCCGGAAGCAGAGCCAGTTTTTCCCTCGGGTTGACACAGGCTGCTCTCATGGTCATCTCTTGGGCATTCACCAGGTTCCTCGAATGTTGGACAAATCAAATCTAAGGAAAGGCATCATTCAAAATACGGCTGCTTTCTTCTTCCATGGCATAAAGCATAATTTTACACCATGACTCCGAGCATACTTCACTTAATTTATTTATTAGATTCGCCGACAGGCAGGGACACCGCAACAGCTTGCGCCAATTACTGCGGGCCCAGTAAACCCACCCATCCCACTCCAGGGGAGGACATCCACCACACAGTAATCTCGTGCGTGGGAAATTAACGTCTCCTACCCCTAACCCTGCAGGAGACGGGGCCTAAAATATCCATTTCTTAATATTATAAAAAGGTTGTAAATTCTCCTCAGTTATTGTAAGAATAGAGTAAAGCACTCTGTTATGTTTGCTTGACATTTTGCCATGTGAGATTTTCGCGTTGAGCCTTTGACGTCACTTCCTCTGAGTCCTGCGATCAACTTCCGGAACATGATCAAATAATGGCGAACGAGAAATCGTGAATTTAACGGCCCGAAAAAAGATATTTCTGGTGCTCGGTATAAACTGAAATTTGGCAGAGTAGGTGAAGGAGACACACTGAACACGTAAATGGAAAAAAAATGATGTACGAAAATTTTGATCTCAGGGGCACTTTAACTCATTGATTGATACTTAGCATTTGTGCCAAGTTTGAGCCAAATCGGTGATTTAAGGATTATCGCCCCTTCCCGGTTTTCTGATGGACGCGCTGTAAATATATTGACGTTGTAAAGCCAAATATAAAAATGATCTCGTTGCCCTCCATGCTTCTTTCATGTGAGTAATGACCAAAAGGTGGCAATTTACTTAAGCCGTATCGTCAAATACGCACAACCGTCCAAAACTATCCTTTCTTTCATCCAGTATAGAAACTTGACGATATGATAAACTCTTAAACATTTTCTTCAGAGGACTATGAGACTGGAAGATGAAAAAAAGCTTTTCTAATGTTCGTGATAAACACATGAAGAAAGTTTTGCATTATGTAATAAGCTTTTTTTAAAATCATGCTTAAAGTAAACTGAGATCTGAGGAACATTTTCGCTATGTCTGTGAATTCCAGCTAGTATGGTTGACCTCCTTGTGGATTTTTCAATTGGTTTTCATGATATCCAAATTTCAAGTTTGAATCGACTTTACCGTGTTATTAACTCGAATTAGACGGTTGAGAGATCTTTCCGAGCTATACACCTTGCCTTCCAGCTGAGTAAAATGATCGGATTGAACCAATTCTCAAATGTTGTGCCTTCAACACTGTGCGTTTGACAGAATTACTAAAGAACTAAACATTAACAAATTCTTGGGAAAGGTCAGAAAATATCTAACAGTCTCAAACAAAAAGGATTTTACTCCAGAAGAGAAACGCTCTGGTCAAAGAACCGCTCTGGGTCAATTACAAGTCTTACGGAAACGACTTACCCCGGGATTGGGAGGGAATCGCGAACAACAACAGGAATGATGAAACGATGATCCTACGAGACAGGGCCATGGTTGTAAGGCACTTAAACTGGTCTCATGCGAAGCAAAACAGGCTCACAGCACTTTAAGCTAGACTAACTTGGTACAGCCGTGCGCGACCACGCTTGGTACAGCCGTGCCCGACCACGGCTTTCATAGTGGGCGCATGATAGCACAGGCGTCCCAAGCTCACGTCTCGAGGAAAAGCGAAGGATCATTTCATGAAAGCGTCACGCGTTGCGTGGTGCGGTATTAAGTTACTCGAGTAACCGTTGAGAACTTGAACGCGTTCTAAGGAATAGTATGGGGAACAAAATATGGTCCACTTAAAACACTAAATATTCCGAAATATGAATATTTTATTTAAATGGACCATATTTTCTTCCCCATGAAATGTATGTCAGACTGTAAGGCAAATTGAAACTTAGTTCGTGGGAGTGAAAGGGATACCTGAAATTTGAATACATTCCCCTGGCAACGGTAACTCGACAAGAAAATGATGAGGCATCGTAGCGTCTTTAGCCCGATTTAAAGTCGTTTTTAGCTGACAGCAGTTTCAGCTTTTGTCAGTTTTTAGCATGCACATATCGGGGGTTGTCAGTAATACATAGCGGTCAAATGGATTCAAAAGTATTCCGTCATAATACCTTCCCGATCACTCCGGAATGTACATTATAGTGGACTTCCTTTAATGCTTCATGGACTAAGAAGTCTTTTGAGTGGTATTATCCACTACCCTTGACATTTAACTGCTACTCTTAAAACATCGCTTCACGCAAGAAATATTATACCTGAATGACAATCGGCGCAGGCAAAATGGTGAATTTNTTAGTTCGTGGGAGTGAAAGGGATACCTGAAATTTGAATACATTCCCCTGGCAACGGTAACTCGACAAGAAAATGATGAGGCATCGTAGCGTCTTTAGCCCGATTTAAAGTCGTTTCTAGCCGACAGCAGTTTCAGCTCTTGTCAGTTTTTAGCATGCACACATCGGGGGTTGTCAGTAATACATAGCGGTCAAATGGATTTTAAAAGTATTCTGTCATAATACCATCCCGATCACTCCGGAATGTACATTATAGTGGACTTCCTTTAATGCTTCATGGACTAAGCGAAATGTGACGTACTCAAGAAACATACGTTTCATTGTTCGTCGAGAAGTATTGCATTACTTCACGGTAGCTAATGACAGTCATGTTTCACGTCTTGTTTTGAGACGCTTACAGGATAAAATTTTAGAAAAGAAGAATAACAACGGTTCAGGTCACGTTTCGAAAAAAAAAGCCAGTCATTTCGCAATTTCCATGAAGAAAAGGCGCTTCATCGTTCATGGCGATATAACCAGGTCATGTTTAAAACCGACCACAGGGCCCTTCACGATCCCGAAAAAACCATTTTCCCCAACAAAAATAACAGTAATTGATTATTAGTAGTAGTACTATTAACATTATTAAATTGTTATGTATTATGCACACCCACGACTTTTACCCACACCCACACCCACACCCATGAGACGTTAGTGAAGTTTAGCTGGCATAGTATCAGCATTTTCGTCTGAGGTCAAGTACTCAAAGGGTTGTTTTTGCCTAAAAAAGGAAAAAGCAAAGTAGAAAAAACAAACAAAACAGCATACATATAAATCTAAAAACTCTCCTATCAAGGTCTAAGTGAGTTCAGATGTTTTGTAAGTGCTTATCATGGCTTTTTTTTATGCAGTTAGATGTAGGGTATACACTTAGACCTCGACGCATGACGCGTTCATGAAATAATCCTTCGCTTTTCCTCGACACATGAGCTTGGGATGCCTGTGGTGATACGGAGTGCGTGCAAGAATTTCTGCTCTCAACTGATTTTTATCGGATAAATCTACCTTGGGACAATAAAGGTTAAGATTGTGATGTTTACGTTGGCATTTAACGGATCAAAATGAGACGTTAGCAAAGTTGAGCTGGCAGAGTATCAGCATTTTCGTCAGAGGTCAAGTACTCAAAGCGTTGTTTTTGCCTAAAAAAGGAAAAAGCAAAGTAGAAAAAAAAAACAGTATACATATAAATCTAAAAACTATTCTATCAAGGTCTAAGTGAGTTCAGATGTTTTGTAAGTGCTTATCATGGCTTTTTTTTATGCAGTTAGATTTAGGGTATCCACTTTAGACGTCGATCCAATGATTTAAGATCTAAGACCTGAGTGTACTTGACAAGACTGGCCCGTATGCCCACATCTCCTATTTCATTTATTTAAGTCGATAAGAAACATCTCCCACGAAATTCAACCGGGAAAATATCGAAGCGAAGCAATAAAAGATCAACAGTAAAAATAATATTTAGACGTAGCAAAACACATTTTTGCTGTTCTCACCTCTACGATCCAATTTACCTGATTAATCCTCTCATGATGACTTTAAGAAAAGGACTTATAAATGAAAAAAAGCATTGTGCAGTTTCTATAGGTTGAAAATTTTAAGATAGGATAGGATAGGATAAGGTAAATAAGAACCGACTCTAAGGGACAGGTCATTATTTATCGGGAGGGGGACTGGTGCAAATAGGCGGGGGGCACCGTTTTTTATGCATGGCTTCAAGGGGGGGCACACAAAAATATGCAAACGTTTTGCCAGGAAAAATGTTAAAAGCTGCATCTGGATGCCATCAACAAATACAGCTTAGTAGACATTTTGCCATGTGAGATTTTCGCGTTGAGCCTTTGACGTCACTTCCNCCTCCCGATAAATAATGACTAGTCCCGAAGGATCAAGTTTGATCGCAGTATTTCAACTGTATTTCAACTGCCACTGAAGACCCTTTCGTTTTTCCGCACATAAGTTTGGGGTCTGACCAAAAATGTCATGAAAACCGCTGGAAAAGAGGTGTTTAGCTTTTCTTTTTTATTTTCTTCCTTGAGAAAAGTCTCAAGTTTAGTGAAAACGAGCGCTTGTGCGCTAAAATATAAAGTCAAGGGCCCAGAGAAATAACCTGACTTTATGGAAAACTTCACTTAAAACTTGACATTTTTTTAAAGTCTTATCCGGAGTGAAACAGTCCGGTTACGTTAATTTCTTCAAGAATCTCAGTGTTTCCCAAAATGGTCAATGTTGAGTTATTGTTTGTTTAAGAACTCGTTTGTGTCGTTGATACAGCAATGCCGAGTTCGAATTTGACATGTCGATTTTATGTGAAGGGAAGTTAACCGGAAAACCGTCGGAGCAAGGACAAGAGTGGGTGGTTTCGGAAGTGGGTGTGCGTCAATGGAATGTCGTATCTGTTATGGAGATTAGCAGGAAAACAGGAAATGATAATTGTTTCAAGAAGCCTTCAGAATGCATCTATTACAGTCGGCGTGTAGTTTGTGAAAAACCGCAAAGCTGCTCATGACTCACCACATCCTAGTGTGAGCCTCTTTATGGGTATTTCCGAAGAGATCAAAGACGCAAAGATCACAGCAGAAAAAACGAAGATCTCAAGATTAAAGCGAAGATCTAAAAATTGACCAAAATTTGCATGATCAAATTAAACACTCAGATACAAAACTGTCAAAACTCTTAAACACTACAGAAAATATCTCTCATTTCTGACTTTTGACCACGTTTTGACAACGGTGTCAACAGTGGTTTATAGTTGCCGCCGCGAAACCACATGATGCCATTACAAGGCTGTAAACGACAAAAATAGTCCACTAATAATAAAAAGTCAGTGGGTTAGTTGTGTATGTTAAAACTACGAGCTTGTGGGATCGCATAAAGAAACCAGTCTTCAAATGCCGTAAACGACGTAGACCACTGAACAAACAGAACGTCGCCAAAGAATCCAACAATCCTTTATTGTTTCAACAACTGTTTATATTGCTTTTCGTTAATTTAAACAGTGAGTTATGCAATTTGCTGTTGAAGTGAAATATTTAGCGACTGTTAATAACACTGAATAAACGTTTAAACCTTTTCAATCCAAAAAACGAAGATCTTACTAAAAAGAAAACCAAGATTCGCAAAAACATCGCAAAGAAAACGAAGACCGTGGGTACCCATAGAGGGGCTCTGGTGTTCTTAGCCAGAAATACTAGACAGTCAGCGGCTTGACCCGCGGGCGCGTAAATTTAAGGTTTCAATATGGCGGATCGGCGGATGCGTCGGCGGATGCCTAAAAGAGAAAAAAGCGGTCCAAGGGCTTCTACCATAGCTTGAATACTCTAAGCACTGTAGACGTCATGAGTATCCAAGCGATAAAAGGAAAAGGCCGTTATTTTCAAGTGGAGAGAGATTTGAGTTGCCGAAGAATCAAAGGTGAGGTAAATATGATGCTTGTTTGAAGTGAACACGAAGCGCCATAAATTCAGTTATAATTAATGTTTTTAACCGTAGAAACAAGTATTGGTTGTATTTTGTCTTTAAGAATGAATACCTAATTCATTGGAAAGGGTACAGTTCCCTTAATGACAGCTGGGAAGCCGAAGAGAATCTCAATGAAGCCGCTTTAAGCTACTTTTCTCTTAACATTTTTCGACTAAGTCATAAAATCAAACATAAGCTTAACTTAATGTTTTACTACTCGATTTAAAACGAAAAGATTGAGAAACTTGATGAGGAGACAGAAAATTATCTTAAAACTATTTTAACTTCTTAATGTCAGACATGGCATACAAAGTAAAACAAAATTTTCCCTCCAAACTCCCGCTTTTTTCGAATCTTAGCCGCGTTTCTTATGTACAGCGGCATTTCAGTATTGTTAGAGGAAATACCACTGATCTTAAAAACACGTTAAAAGAAAATGGAAACTTAACCGAAACCGGAACAAAATGCTCGAGGGAGCCAATTTGCTTCAGTAATGGCTGCATGTCCTCGTTTCTTGCATTGATGTAAAACACCTCGTTAGATATTGAAAACGCACCATGTTAAAAGATGTTTTTGGTATGGAAAACGTCTACTTTGCAAGGTTTATTGTCATATCTTTCGGACACGATGAATAGAGAAGCGAATCGGTGCAAGTGTTTCCTTGTAGCAGATGTAAGAAACTATCAAGGTAAGCCCTACTTTTAAGGATATTGCGAAGAAAATGTGGCTATTTTATCGGGTAGATTTCATCAAAAGGCACCGATTAAAACCCAGTTCCAACTTGACTTTATAAACTTACACGATGAAGAACGTTGAGATTCTAGCGGTAATACCACAAAATACTAAAATG